TCAATCACTGAAAGAACCTCTGGCAGTATGTGAGTTTCATGAGGTAGTTTCTCAGTGAGTCACCAGGTTAGCAGAAGTTGTGTTCACCAGATTGATACAGATTCAAATTTGTTGCCAGTGCTGGGACACAGCAAAAGTTACAGGGTACACCAAGGCCAGCAGCCACGTGCCAGGTGCCCAAAGACCTTTGTGATGGGGTGGTGGGGTCTCAGGGAGTTGTTGGCAGAGTTAATCAGGCCCAAATAGACCAAGATTTGGCCTTGTGTAAAGATGGCCCTGCACAGGAACAGTGGCTTTAGTTGGGCAGGCTAGGGAAAAATGGCCCCTAACCTAGAGCCACACAATTCAGTCTGTCCCCAATTCTGGCTGGACCTTCTCAAGAGCACTAAGCTCCGCAGGGCAGGACTGCCAGGAGTCAAGGAGGTAGGGTTAGTGGATTTCTCATGGGAAGGCAGGACTGATCAGGCTCTCAGGAATAGTGTGGGAGAGAAACCCCAGAGCCACATAACTCAGTCTCTCAGTCTCTGATACCCCCTGAGTCCACCTGGACCTCAACACCACTGCCCAGGTAGCTCACTAATCCACAGAGTATGAGCTTTGCAGGGTAGGGCCACAGGGAGTTGGGAGAATGGGGCTATTACATTCACCAGGCTGATGCCTTATGGAGGGAAGTACTCAACCCAAGAAAGATGGTATCTGTGGGCAGTGTGGGAGAGGGACTCAGCACAGGTACTCTGGCAGTTGTCCCTTCAAGCTCTCTTCCCAGAGCCACATAATCCAATCTCTCTTCACACAATTCTAGTCCACTTCAAGCTGTCCTCCTTTTTCAGAACCCAAGGTGAGTGGCTACCAATGAGGTTTTGTGTGCTGGCCCTTTAAGAAGGCAGGAGGGTTTCTAGCAGAATTTGTCTCTCTCCGGCAGACAGAATCCATGCTGATTTTCACAGCCAAATGTTATGTGAGCGCCTCCTCCAGGCTCTGATGTTCTGGGCTGGAGAGCCCGCTGTGGGGTTAAAACCCCAAGCTTCTCAGGAGTAAACCTTTGCAGCTAAGATATCCCTCCAGATTCTCAGCTGCTGCATGTGGGTGCAGGGCCAGCCCTTTTTGCATCTCCACCCTTCCTACCAATCAAAATGTGGCTTCTTCTATAAATCCTTGGTGATAAAAGTACAACTCAGCTCGTCTTCATTTGACTATTCAGGTTGATTAGTCTATATTTTAGTTATAATTCTAGGTTGGTTCTGGGAGGAGATGAGTGTAACTTCAACATACTCTGCTGCCATCTTGGATTCTCCCAGGTGGCAGAGAATTTCATCCCCAGGCCTTGAGATCTAATCAAGTTTGCCTAGAAAGATATTAAAACGGCCCTGGCCAGTTTTTCTCAGTGGTTAGAGTGTCTATGGACTCAAGGGTAATGGTTCAATTCCAGTCAAGGGCACGTACCTTGATTACAGGCTTAATCCCTGACCCCAGGACTGGGTGCATGCAGGAGGCAACCAATCAATATGTCTCTCTCACATTGATGTTTCTGTCTCTCTCTCTCTCCCCCTCCCTTCCACTCTCTCTAAAAATCAATGGAAAAAAATATCCTTGGGTGAGGATTAACAAAAAATAAAAAGAAAGACATTAAAACTTATTGTCGACTGTGGGGCAAAAGTCTAATGGCCACCATAACAAGAAGGTATCTTCAGACCAAAAGATGAAGCAAGCAACTTCATAGAAAATAACAGAATTACAAGGTAATTTACTTACAGGAAGATTGGGCCAGAGTGGACAGATGACCCAGCAATTTTTCTTAAGTTATTATTCACTACCAGACTCCTATTACAGTACTTCTTTTATAGTATAACTCAGGTATAATGATTGACAAGACAAAGAGACAAAGAATGCAATAGTTTCAGGGGGCATCCCTCCTGGTGGTCTTATGATAAATGATTGCTTATAATTGATACTCTTACCTAATTGATACTCTTACCAGTTTGATATTTATCTCAGTTGTCAGGCCATTCTGGCTGTTTCTAAAAAAAAAATTTAAGGCTACATTTTAAGGAACACAGATCAACATCAACTAGAAGGTTTGCTAAGGACAGTGAAGTTGGTCACAAAGATCACAGCATGAAACTTAAAATGAAATCTGGACACACAGAGAGAATTAGTTTTGTTCATATATACATGTATACACTTAAGAACCAGTAACTCCTTTTACTTTCCATCCACCACCACTCCTTTTTAAACAGAAATGTCTGTGACCCATGCCTGTCCCTCCACTGTGTGCTGGGAATGTTGGGTGGGTAGTTTCTTCAGTATCATGGGTCTATAGATGAGGAAGAATTGTGCTTAAAAGCTGTATTTAAATAGTTATCGCCTAGTAAGTTGGTTTGGCTCAGTGAATAGAGCGTCGGCCTGTGGACTGAAGGGTCCCAGGTTTGATTCTGGTCAAGGGCACATGCCTGGGTTGCAGGCTCGATACCCAGTTGGGGGCGTGCAGGAGGCAGCCGATCAATGATCCTCTCTCATCATTGATGTTTCTATCTCTTTCTCCCTCTCCCTTCCTCTCTGAAATCAATAAAAAATATGTTTTAAAAAAATAAATAGTTATCACTAGGAAACTCATTTTCACCTGACTTTGAGGAGTTAGATGATGAGATCTTGGACTTTGAGGTGATGAGATAATGATATTTAGATTTAGATGATGATGTTGGTTCACAAACTGGCCCCTATACATGGAGGGCAAGAAGAGATGGAAGAAATAAGTAGACTACTCCAGATAGATAGGTGGCAGGTTTAATAAACAAGGCAACGTATTTGACAACCAGAAGACTCACTTCCACCTGCCAGAATCTATATAGAGAATATACCTAGGCTCAGTCAAATATACTATCCAGGTTGTCTCAACAATACCTATCTCTCTCACGGTTGCATCCTTGGAACAGCTCCCACTGTGGGAACAGTTGGCTGAGTGCACAGTCCAAGGACAGGGGAGGGGTAAGGAACCTTCAATTGCTGAAGTCCAGCTCAGTGATCAACTGGAGGTCATGTCCTATTGATGACCTCCACCAACAGATGAGAATTTGTATTTTGTGTTGATACTGTTGTTATGCCCAGATTTCAAAATCTCCAAAGACAGACCACCAGGGAGCCGAGTCTGATGCAAAAGCAAAGAGTCATTTATTCAAACTAGCTAGTTTGGTCCCTCTGCCTCCCTCACTGACACAGTGGAGTGACAGGAAGCAAGGAGAGCCCGGAGTCTTGGAAGAACAAAGAATTTATAGGGCTTGGGTCAGGGGGTGGGGGCTCACTCGGACCACTGATTTGGCCAATTCCGGTTGGTTGAGTGATGGCCGGGGGGCTAATGACGCAAGGGCAGGGTGCAGCTAGGGTCTGGTTACACAAAGACAGGAGGTGGCTAGCATACTTTTGGCCTTGGGCTAGTTTCCTTGCGTTCCTATTGGCTGAGATAAGGGCTGGCTGAGCAACTGATACATTCTATGGCTTTTGCTTAAAGAGGAGTTAGGAACACGGTTATCAGTCCCATTCTGTCCTTTCACTGTAATAGGTAGAGACTTGGGAACCTTGAGATATAGTGAATAATCTTGCATTTAAGAAGGATACTAGTTATTAGAGGACAGAGGTTGGACCCCGCTTCCCCTTGACCCATAAGTTCCTGCTGCTGAGTTGAGGAGACACTTGTATGAAGAGATATCCTCTCCTTGATTATGTCATGCTGTATTGCACTAGTGAGTTTCAGAAAGAGATATTATTACCCTTCATGGGCCTGACCTAGTCATAGAAGATGGTATAGATGACTACATCAGATCTTGAAAACAAGTTGGCAATATTTGGTGACATTATGTAAGCAACTGACCTCTGATGAACTAGTGCATATTCCTGGGTCTACCTCATAACTTCCTGATGACTCTGTCACCAAACTGGGGTCCTGTGGGTAGAGGGAACCTATGTACCTTCTGCTTCCCCTATTAGCCTGAGGATTCCCAGTGCGGACTGCCTTCTTGGACCTGACACCAGCTTCTGCAGCTTCCGATGTGGCGCAAGGGCCATCTGAGTCCAGATCAGTGCACTCCACCGACCCCCAGGAGGCGGTTTCCCAGCTGCCCTTGCGTGGTGGCCACGGTGCTGTCCGCTCCATCTGATGGCGAACGCTGGGGTGGGGGGTGCAGTTCCAGGCTGGTGGGCAGCCTACGCCCTGGCTGTGGCCCTTCTCTGGCTGTGCCCACTACTGCTGCACGCCCAATCTGCGGGGACCACCGCCCAATCTGCGGGCACTACCGCCCAATCTGCGGGGATCACCGCCCAGCCTGCGGGGACCACCGCCCAGCCCACGAGGAACACTCAGGCCGGGGCTGGTGAGTGGGCAACTAGGGCAAGGGAGCCCAGGTCACCCACTTTGACATGTCCCACCCTCAACAGCAGCCAAGGGGGTTGGGCTCTAAGGTCCCTGGGTTTCTGCGGAACATACGCGGTGGGGCCATGGAGGGAGAGGCAGGGGAGACCAAGGTGCCCCCTCTGCCCTGCAGCTCTTTCCCACTAGATTTCAGTATCCTAGGCCAGGAGTAGAGGTCCTGAACTAGCCTGTCTCTGTCAGCCCCCCAACAGCCTCTTCATTTTAAGAATGGGAAGTGCTACTTCAAGAGGGGGATTATCAAGCAAAGTATGTATCATTTGGCCTCAGGCTCCCTAGAATATTGTACTGAGGTGGGAGGTGTGCAAACAGGTCATTATCAGTAGCCCTGAGCAAACAGCATCCCTCTGTAAGTCCTCAGTTTCTGGGACTTCAAACAGTTGTGTATTAGTTAAGTGAAATCGGTCTGGGGAAGGACCTGGGGAAATGCCACTGCCCAGCCTGGACCTCCTCACTGCTATTCTGATCTGTACCTACCTGGCTGCCCCCCCCCCTCCTTTGCCCCCTCCTCCAGACCCACAAGCTGCTTCCTTAATGCTGTCATCTCCAGTGAAGCCAGGTGGCCTTTGTCACATAGGCCATGTCACTTCACCCTGGGTTTATGGAGGCAGCAAGGCTGTGCCTCAAGACTGGGACTATCTCCACAGTGTGTGGGAGGCCCGTGGTGACTGGGAAGATCTTTGGTGGCAAGAATGCATCTGACCAGCGGTGGCCATGGCAGGCCAGCCTGCTCTACCATGGCAAGCACATCTGTGGAGCAGCCCTCATCAGTGCCTTCTGGGTGATCTCAGCTGCCCACTGTTTCCAAAAGTGAGTCTTCCCACAGGGGTGCAGCTGCTGGGGGGTAGGGAGGGAGGGAGCACAAAATGGCCAGAAAAGAAGAGGGTAAAGGAGGTTGCAGCTTTTTTTTTCTTCTAGGCTTTGTTCTGGGATAGTTTGCTGCCACCAGGTGTCTCTGGGTGCTGTTGCAGTCCTCTCTACCTGGAATACCATCACTGTTCACCACCTGACTCTAGTCTTCTGACTGTCTTGAGTCATTTCTCCTAGGACAGAGGATAATTGCCTCATCTCTCCTCACGGGGATGTTCTTTTCACCCCCCTCTTCATATTGTGATAACATATACCAAGATGGCGTGGTTGTCTCAGCTACATTATTTTTAAGTAGCTAAATGGAAATTGGCTCTAATTATGATTATCAGTAAATACTGGAAAACAGACTTTAGTTCCAAAATAATTGCCTCCAGGTCATTCTTTATTTTTCCTAAACTTTAGGAATCTAAATCCTGTTTCAACTCAAGGTGGACTCTGGTTTCTATATGTTGTCCAGCTCTAGATAGCCCCATAAGATTCCAATGTGCCTCAGTTTCCTCTTGTGCAAATGGTAGTTGGTGTGTAGTGTCCCTTGCCACATCCTGGCACAGGCTTCATGCTGTAAGTCAGAGTGACAGTACCAAGGCTGGGGGTGGGGAGCATCAGTCAGGGCCCATTGTGAACAAGTATTTTGCCCTCTTGTCTGAAGGCTGGCTCCAGCACAACTGCCTGAAACTTCCCTGGGTCCTGACTACTTGCACACTTGGCAGTTCCTTTCTAGAGGTGTGCTAAGACTCTGCACACCTAACTAGAACTCAGCTCTTTCTTTCACCTCTGTAGAACTATGTGCCTAAGAATAGCTGTTGTCACCATTGTCCTCACAGACCAGAGTGAGGAATAAAGAAGATGGTCTCTGTCCCTGGAGATGGGTGCAGTTAGGAGAGTGGACTGCTCCTCAGGTGTATCCTGGGTTTATTTTGTGCCCAGAGGGAGTGATAAAGTCATCATGCTCCATGTCAGGAAGACAAGGCTGCTGGTGTCAGCTGGCTTTGAGACCCCACTTCTATTCATTTATTCAGCACACATGGGTGCCAGGCCCCATGTGAAGCCCACTGTGGGTGATGTAGAGATGCAAGGCTCCACTTGAAACTTCTCATCCTATAAGAAAAGTAAGACACAGTCCAACTACTGTGATACAGGGTAGAGAGTCCATAATGTGTGAGAGGGTAGATGCTGAGCAAGTGTCAAGAGAGGTGCTGTAGATCTCATCAGATGTTGGGCCTTATGGAAGAAGGATTCAGGCATGGGGAGTCTGGATAGGGGACAACACAAGCAGGACACCACACACTCCTCTATTGGCTCCACAAAAACTTGTTGAGTGCCTGTCACCAGATGGGGATCAGCCTTTAGAGAAATTGGTGTGTGTGTGGACTGGGAAGGAAGAGGATGAATCATTCTAGGATGGGAAATGGGGTCTTTGAGACTCACTCCTGGGTATTGGACCTTACAAGGGTTCTGGTCAAAGTTGGGAATGAGCCAAGTCTCCTCTCCTCAAAAATGAAGGGGTATAACTTCATGTTTCCAGCACTAAGATTCTCTGCTCCTTTGATTCTGGGACATGCTGGGAAAGCCATCAGTAACTTTCAAAGGATAAATGTCCTGAGGCTGTGGACAGCAATCAAACCACCTCAAGAGAATGTTAGGAAGGGAGGAGAAAGAGACCACTGGAATAATGGTGGGCTCTAATTACTAACCAGGGGGTGGGGAAAGCAGTCAGAGTAAGGGTGCTGGTCCAGCACCCAGAGGAGATGGGTGATAATGGAGCCTCTCCACAATAGGTCCCATGAGCCATCAGACTACAAGATCCTGCTAGGGTACCATAAGCTACAGCATCCCACCGAGCACAGCCTGCAGATGACGGTATATCGAGTCATCGTCCACGATGATTTTAATAAGCGCTACATCATGGGGAGTGACATCGCATTATTGCAACTACATTGGTCTGTGAATTTTACTTCCCATGTCCTCCCTGCCTGCCTCCCAGAGCCTAATGCAACGTTGCCCCCTCATACCTCTTGCTGGATAACTGGCTGGGGAATGATCACCGAGGAAGGTGAGTAGGATAGGGGAGATGAGGAGAGTGAGGCTGAGGAGGAGGGGGGTGCAGTGGCCACCATGGGGCCCTGACAGCATGTCCTAAAACTTCAAGTTTTCTTTAGTTAGTTGTTCAAAAAAATCTGAGTATCTCTAACTTTTGGAAGCAGGAACTTGGGGTGTTTTTCGACTTGAGCCATTCAGGATTCCACCCTGACTCCCAGGTCCTCCTTGGGTCAGGCTCCTTCAGAGCTTGCTTTGTCAAACACCTCTTGAAATCCTACTGCCACAGAAGGTACTTGGGCAGCAGTCAGGAAATGAAGCAGGCCTGCTCTCTGGTATGGGTGGTGGAATTGGACATTTATAGCTTTTACCTCTGTGAACTTCACTTCTCTTTATTCTAACTGAAGTAAAAGTTGCCCATTCTGCCTGCTTGCTGGGCTTGTATATTTTTAGATGGAGAAAAGAGAAATGTTGGGCAAAGATTTTTGCACAGGGATGAATGCTTTTGTTTTAAACATAACATTGAGTGAAAAAATAGGATGTAAATTTGGCAGAACATCTCATGAAGGCATTGGGGACAGGACTTTCTTTGCTGTGCAGGCCAGTGCCAGTATCCCTGCTCCTGTCCACTTCCAACATTTCCAAAGACACCCTCCTGGGATGGACTCATTAAGAACCACTGGCATACCAAACAAGATTCTCCAAGCTGGTCAGAGGATGGGAGTTGGGGAATGAAGTGAAGTGAGCTGCCACCAGGACAGGGAGCAGCTGCCATCAAAGAGGGACTCAATTGTCTTTCTCCCTCCACTCCTTCCACCCCCAGACTGCAGTTGCTGGTCTGGGCTGCCCCTGAGAACATGTGAGGGCCGTACACAACTCATACTCCATAGGAGTGCTCAGTCACTGTAACACTGTGCTGCCTCATGAGAACACCAGGTCAGATCTGTGAGCAGTATCTGGAAATAGAATCTACAGGAAAGGTGTCCACAAACCAGATGCTCCTTGAGGCAAGGCCATGTTTTATTTGTCATACCACCTAACCCCATCTAGCATCTGCTAGGTATATCACTGCTACTCCTTGACCAAGCCAGGACTCATAGCTTCCACCCTCTGTGCCTCTACTTCTGGCCCCACATAGCAGCCAGATTAATTGTTCTTAAAATCTAAGTAGACCCTTCAGTGGTTTCCCAGTACGATTAGAATGAAATCCAAACTTCACAACCTGGTGAGGAGGCCTTGCTTGCCCTGGATCCTGCTATGACTGTGCCTAATTTTTTTCACCCCCATAACAACCACACTGACCTCCATCCTGGTCCTTCCAACTGTATGCTGCTCACTTTTGCTCTCTTGTCTGCCTTGAACATTTCCGCACCCCCCTGCCCCCCGCTCTTTACACATCCTCTGAGAGGCTTCCTCAATCCTCTTAGCCAGAATGGTGACCTCTTCTTCAGCAGACAGGTTAGAGAGGTAGCTGGCTTCTCCCCCAGGCTCCACCTCATATCTGACCAAACTATCACTCCCCTGCAGAGTTCCTGCCTCCACCTTCACAACTGCAGGAGGGAGAGGTTGGCATCATAGACAACGAGGTCTGTAAAATTTATTTCCAATCGCCAAACACCAGTAAATACTCTCTACATGAGGATATGCTGTGTGCCGGGGACCTCATTACTGGAAAGTCCATCTGCCGAGTAAGTAAGACCAGCTCCATATCTTCAGTCGGGGATATCTCTCCTCTCCTGTGGCATCTGTTCTCTCTCTCTCTCCCTCTCTCTCTCTCTCTCTCTCTCTCTCTCTCTCTCTCTCTCTCCTCAGCCTCTGGTTTTTTATTTCTTACCCACCCCAGTTAGAAGTGTCAGAGCCAAAGGACAGAAGCCATTATAGAGTCCACTCCATCTGTTTTCTTCATTTTTTAAAAGAGCTTTGTTGAAGTACAGCATTCATAGGAAAGGGCACCATTTATAAGTGTGCCATCTGATGCATTTTAGAAACTGATACACTCCTGGAACCAGCACCCAAAGGGTCCTCCTTATACCCCTATCTTGTCATTAACTCCCCCCAGCTAACCCTGGTCTGGCTTCTTAAGCACCATAAAATAGTGTCAGGACTTCTATACATGGAATCATACAGGACACATTCTCATTGGGTCTCTTTCAGTCAGTGTTATGTTTGTAAGATTTATTCATCTTGTGTGTAGTTTATATTATCTTATTGCTGAATAGTGTTCCACTGTGTGAATATAGTATCACTTTATTTATCCATTCTAGTGTTGGTGGCATTTAGGTAGTTTCCACATGAGACCATTACAAATAGCACTCTGTGAACATCCTAGTGCATGTATATTGGTGCACATGGGTTCACACTTTGGTTGGGTATAACCTGGGAGCAGAATTACTGAGCCATATAATAGGTACATGTTCCTCTCATAAATGCTGTAGGGCAGATTTCCAACCTGTGTGTACCAATTAGACTCCTACAGCAGGTAAAAGTTCAGGTTGCTCTACATTGCCACCAGTACTTTATGTGGTCCACAATTTTCATTTTAAACATTGCACGTGATTTTTAATTTGCATTTCTCTGGTGAATGATGAAGATAAGCATTTTTTATATGTGTATTGCCTTTTTGTACAGTATATATTCAAGTTTTTTGCCATTAGTTCTATGGGATCTTCTGTCTTTCCTATTGAATTGGCTATTATGGATTTATGTATTATGAATGTCTTCTCTCATTCTGTGCAATCTTTCCATTTTATGGTGGAGAAACTGAGGCTCAGAGAGGGAAGTAGATGGTCCAATGCAAGGTAGTGAGACCACAGTCAAACTTGGAGAAGCCATGCCCTCCTTTGGAACTGTGGCCACTACAGGCTTCCTCCTACAGTCTTCTCTCCCGCTCTTGCACCTTCTTTCCAGCTCTTCTTCTCT